AGAATCGCCCACCGCGGTCGTGGAGATCGTTTGGCCGATCGCCCCGGGCGCGTCCGTATACGGCCCCGGATAACCCGGTCAGGCGCGAACGGATAAACATTCCGGGCGTATTTGCCCGCCGCATTCGCACCGGTGCAGTTTAATTGATATCGCCAACGCAACCGTTTCCACGGATCGATGATTCATCCGGGTCTATCTTTGTTGCGTCAGCGCGCTCCACGTGGTGCGTTCGCGTGTTTAAACGCGGTGAGATTAGACTGTGTTCGAGCTGAGCTTATGTAACGATGATGCAGACTACATCGGATTGAAAAGCGTGAATGCTCGAGATTCACGAGGCTTACTTGTCGTATTTCTTGTATTGGTGTTTCGCAAAACCCCTTTTCCTGCACTGCATTGGGGATATCATGATTCTTTATTCTGTCTTACCTCAGTACCAGTCCTCTAATATCCAAATCAAACACCATTTTTAATACACAATGTCAGGTAGGGCTACGCAACAGGTATGTACCACGACCTCACAGAAGACCGGCTTAAAGTAGTAATGTCATCGTACTTCTGCGTTTCCTCTGATGAGTGAGGGGCCCCACGTTATCAAAAGGTGGCAACGCATTAAACCTATCACGTAACATCAGGTGAAGCCACGACGTCGTGATAGGTTTGTCCGGCCGTTCGCTTTTAATTCAATTTACTCGAGCAACCTGAGTTCGATCCACCAGTGAAGGCACTAATGAAATTGTTTATTATCTTTGTTGAAATTGTAATAGCTGATGAGGTTTTTTCACGATTGTTTCCTGCATTCAGTGGTGCAGAAACAATCGTGAACAAAAACCTGCATATTTTCGAAATGATAACGAAAACAAAAAAACGAAGATATTTGAAGAACACTATCTTTACTTTTTCAAAACATTTTCAATCTTTAACGCTAATTCCATTTATTTAGTTTCGACGAGGCACCATAAACGATTATATTATTCTTTATGAATGAATTACGAAGCGACGTTAGAACACTATGACCGTACTTTTTTTGACTTTGAATCCCGATGCACGCCCTAAAAACCACCCAGATGTTTATAACGCTGAGTCACCGGACAGTCTCGACATATTCCTACAGTCTCGTGTCGAGAGCGAGCGGAGAAATACGAGCTTTATTGCTGGAGCAAACAACGTCCTGCCACCATGACACCGGGCCGGACATTGTCGTGAAAGCGTTGGAATTGTCCATTGTTATAGTTTTTGCAGCATCCTTTTACGAAGGTGCCAGCAGTATTTACGGCTGGGACAAAAGCTTTGCCCAATGTTTCAAATGAATTGTCAGTATATAGAAAACAACAAAACTCCGCCACCAATCAAAATTAGTGTCTTGAAAAATAGTTACTGCGGCTCCAACATTTCTGCGATTTTATTTAAGTATTTATGAATAAGAGATTGAAAACTGTTCATAAAAATTATTGATTCTATCACTAGAGAATCTTTAATGACTTCTTAAATAGATTGGATTACAGAAGTATGTTATACATTCAGAGCTTAGGTAACACTATGTGTTAATAGATTACATTGTATCTTTTTAAAATGCATAAACATGTTTACCGGTTCTTATAGATACCATTTATATTTTCAAAGTATCCAGCTTGTACATTTTTTATATCACACTTGCGAAATGTAAATAAAACTATACTAAGATCATAAGTAAATATTCTTTCGATATCAGTTTTTGATCGCGTCTCACCGTCCGTCACTAGAACACTCGACGATCGAAGAAACAGATCTATACCTCCCTCCGTCTCACGTACCGCCATTCCGTTAAACGCCCTTACACAGAATGAAAATGCATGCCTCCTCAGTGTTATCTTAAATAAGTCAGGGGGAACAAGCGATTCCATCATTGTTGGTAATGCGAGCGAAAAAAATTATCAGATAAAGGTACGAACATTTGAAATACCGTCTAACCCAACCGAAACTCCACCCGAATGCTCGCTAATCAGGAACAAAGGAATATCTCGAAAATACCTGATTCACTTGCTTCGCCATTTTTCCATCCAGAGATATCTTCGCTCTTTTGTTGCTTTGTGTATATTAAGCGAGTTTTTGTTGATGAAATGATTTTTTCGGGTATTTTCCGAAATAAGGAGTTTCTACTAGAGTAATCTTTTGTTAATTCGATGGATGCGAGAGTGTTAGCTGGCAAAAACATATTTGTACTATACGTATTGGTTCCATACGTGGACTTACAGTTGCCTGTATTTGTTTGTATTTATTTTTACCGTACACATACTTATTTCTATATCCCAAAACATACACTTGCCATTTTCTGATAAAAAAAAAATTATTCATCCAAATAATAAACATACATTTCATCTATCGATAGTGTTTTTTTTTTAAATCTACCTTTTCGTAATGAGCTTCCACTAACGGAGAAGAAACAGGCAAAAGAAACTCCGTAGGTATCCTATTTTGTCATTTTTTCCCCCCAAAACATTAAACTTACATTATCTCGATGGCAACTCATTTTTGTGAGAACACAGTGCGTGAATTTATCATCCTATGACTGTGGTCGAATAGCATATGACTTCACTTATTTCAGCAGAATAAAAACGTCAGTTTATAATAAGTTGAATATAAATTTGTTATTAATTTATGACGTGGGAAAGTATGTAAATTCATTATATTCATGACATTAACTTATTTATCGGAGCATTTCCCCGCAGCGTTTGAATTCCAAATTCAAATTCAAAGTTTGGAACGAGCAAAACGAACGGACGACTAAGAAGAAATTGGGCCGGCAAAAACATCGAGCGCCCGAGTAACGAAGATAAAGCGGCATATTTACGGCCACCTGCTCTCGCGATGGCGAGCCCAATGAAATCGGGAGATTGTATATAGGATATTGGTTCGGAGCACCTGTCTTTTTCGGTCAGGTGTTTAGATAAAGGACCGGCGTTGCCAGCTGCCACTGCGATTGCTTTTTTTTTTACTATAGTTTGCGCCGGGGGCTCTGTTCATTTCGCCATTTTAATTTGCATCGCCCGCGTCCATATTGCGCGCAGCAAAATTTTCGTTTAAGAGGAAAATATTTGTCTGCTTGATTAGATCCTGTTTCCTTGCTCAATCCGTACTGGGCATTGTTTTAGAATTAGTGCCACGGCGGACAGATATCCTGATCATTGATTGGATTGCACATTTCAGACGAGCTAAATAAATTACTAGAATAATATCAACGACTAAATAGAAATCCCCGAAGACCTCAAATCAAATTCTCCGTCGCAATTAATTTTCAACGACAAGAGTTAACGTGGAAACGTTTTGTAATTAGTTCGTCCGTCTGAAACGGGGAAGTCCCGCGACAGATTCTATAATAACAGAAATGATTCCGGCGCCGGATAGGCCATCAAAACTTCAAAGTTCTTTATCACGATGCTTATTATTAATTAAAATTGTTCTAGAGTGAGAGGGCGGGTGCATTTAGAGGAGCACAAATCTGTTCTCTACTTGTATAATTCAAAAATGTCTCTAGAATACAGACTGAACTTTAAATAAATAGTATTGTTATTCTAAGTTCTCAAATAAAACCGGATGAACAGTGATATTAGAACGTCTCAAGCGCTTCCTCAGTCTGTCCCGTGATCAAGGAGACTGCAAAGCATTCGAAATGTCGGAAATTCAAGTTTAAAATAAGCGTGATAACTATTTTATTTAATAACGTTTAATTTATTATTGTGCAGTGTTCGTAAATATAATAAACTATGACTAACTTGAGTGATGAAGTTAATTTTAACGTTCTAGTTAGATAGTAAACAACAACAGTCGAATTGCAATTGACTTAATGCCCGCAGATTAAGCCACTGCTTAGCTCGGTTAGCTTCTCTACATAGATTATCGACTTCAGCCTTTGTTGAATCTGTTATCTCACCTAACTACGATTTGTTTTTGCATTTCCAAGAATACCAGTCGTTTTATTACAATTGACTATTTTAATAAGTTGACCGAAATAATACTGGTATTTTAACTTATGTTCGTTCGGTACAAACAATCCCTCATCTAAAGTAAAAAAGAGCTTTTATATTTTGGTACATAGTTACAGACTACTAACATTGGAGAAAGAAAGGTTATAGACAGGTTTTTTATCATGAGTTTTTTAACTTAACACTAGTATTGTTTCTGTGAACATCGGATTTTAATAACTAAAGTTGAATTATATTAGTAAATTTACATATTTTGACATTCTCAAACTTATATTTCAACCGAAACGAATTACATAAAAACTTTTATACGACCAATTAAGTTAATGTTACGTTTATGTCGAGAGATAGTACATTAAGAGATATATCTAGCCAGCTCACAAGATTTCCTTGTTTGATTCCCTTCGACGTATAAGGCCGCGTCGACCGCCCGGCATCATCTCCGCAGCTAATAATATGAACATTCTTTGTTACAGGTAAGCGTGCGTCACCGATGACACAGCGGGTTGGAATGCAGCTGCCAGGAACATCTAATGGACTAGGCGGTATTTTAACAGCCACTTTTTTCTTCGTTTTGTTTCCAGCCCGCACTGTTGCAGGTTTTTGCAATGGCCGGGAAAAGGTTTAATTAATAGTGATGTAGTCTGCGGGAATTTGGCGCTCCAATTGAATTGGATTAATAATTTAATTTTGTCCGCTGCGTTTTATTTTTGACGTTACGTCGTGATTTTCTCAATTTAGCTAATATTAATTCTACAATGATGATTTTAATATTATATTTAAAATATTAATATTTAATATAATATTAAGTGAACTTAGAATTATATTAAATAAATTTATCAGCCCTTCCCAAATTGTTGTGGGGATTTCTGTCGATTTTTGGTTTTTTGTTTTATGTTCATGTGTAATAGTTAGCTTACAACCCGTTAATTATATTTAACTATCAAAAGCAGCTACTTCGTTGTTAAAGAAACATCCTGTATCCCTAGACATTGTGATTAGTGCGGTAATAACATGTCCTCACGTCCCCGTAATCCTTGCCTATTGTCTTGCGAGGTCCATCAGCACCCGGTTTGTCCATGGCACGTTTGGCTGCTTGCAAACAATGAGTGCGAAACTGTATGGATGCCCATTGTCGCGTATATGCATATCGCAATCTAGTCTGGGCGGAACATCGTAATATTAGTCTTCACGTATAGAGTTGAGATTAATTAATTAGCTATATGTATTGCTGTGAGCCGTGATAGCTCAGTGTCCGGGCGCTCGCCTTTAATTCTATATACTCGAGCAACCTGAGTTCGATCTCCGGTGCCGGCACCAATGAAGTTTTTAACTTTAAGTGCTGACTTATCACGTGCTCCGCGGTGAAGGAAAACATCGTGAGGAAACCTGCATATATTCGAAATAATAACAAAAAAAATATATTTCGAAGATATGTGAAGTCCGCCAATCCGCAGTGGGGCCGCGTGGTGGACGATACCCTCTGTATAGAGGAGGCCTTTGCCCAGCAGTGGGACATGTATAGGCTGTTACTTTACTTTTTACTTTTATATGTATTAATTAATTAGCGTGTGTACGTGTGCTAGGGCTATCATAGCATACATAGACCAAACTAGACAGGACGCCTGTTAGACCGGGAAAGAACCACGACCACAGAATACTGATGTAAAGTAAAATCTTTATACCCTCCCGTTTCGTCCGGCGAGTAAGGTAACCGGAGGCAGACACTATGAGTTGTTACCAAAACGCCTGTAAAATTTCTGGTGTTTCGAGTGTCATTACTTACTTATTATTGCAAAAATAACTTTTGTTGAAGGTCCCATTGACCTGGAACTTGAAATTATTAGCATGTGTAAAGTTTTTTCCCTTGACTGTATTTTATAGGAATTTAAATTTAATTTCGTACGCAGATTGTTAGCGGATGCACATTATTCATGACATCGGTCATTACTAATTTTGCATCACCCAACAAGTATCATATCCACTAAAACTGAATGTTCTGTAATCCCCCGAACCTCCATTTTTATGATATATGAAAAGGGGCTATCTAAATACCGAAAATAATATATCACTCAAACTCACTGTATCCCAAAATCCGTCGGACTGGGCGCTCCGTTCGGCTTATAAAGCAAAATGTAGGCATAATTTTTCATGGCCGAATATAATCCGAAAAACGTCGCTCACGCGTGTACACTCACAGGCACATCGTGAAATTTAATGGTTTGAATATAACAGAAAGCGCCGCGGCCAGATGCCCGCGCTAACTCGCTGCACTCTCGACTTGTTTCGGGCGAAAACAACATCTGGCCGGCGCCCTCAAATCCCGTTTAACTGTTTTATTTATGGGCTCTCGTGGTGCTCACCTGTTGGCGCCATGTGTCGCTTTTGCCAGCACGACGCGACGCTTCGCATTCTGGTTCGTAAACTGCCAGGGCTGCCACCAGATTCTATTGATTGCTGCAGTAAACAGGATCAGAGTAGCCAAGCAAATGGCTGACGGGAAACTGGTAGACCGCGTCGGCATCAGGTCGTAAAAGCCTCCAATCTAATGAAAATAAAAAACAATAATTAACGATGTTTCTTCGAATTAGTTATGTTCCATGATCACCAAACGAACATAAAACAGTTTTAAAGCAAAAGGTAACGTGGTAATAAAAAAAACTATATTATATAGACTTTTTATTTAATGTAGACTCACCATTTTATTTCACCGCTTTAAAAAGGGTCGTACGATTCATCAACGTCATATTGTTTAGTGATCTGTTATAAAAAAACAGATGTAAGATTAAGTAGTCGCCGAACCTAGATATTATAATTATATTCTGTGATTTGGAAAAGAAATAGGAAATTAAGAAACAGCCATGCACCATTCTAAATTAAACGTAGGAACCGACAAAGATTTTCATGATATCGCAACTTAAAACAGAGGGGCTGTATTGTGTAAGCTATGCTCTTACACCATTTAACATGGTCGCACCCAACTAAGTTTGACTCTGGGCGTTCAGTGCTTTGATTTATGGCGCCCTTAATGACCGGCGTTCGAAGTCGCGGGGCCCCATTGCTTATTACCTCGATGTTGATAAACAGTTGCGTTTGCCGTTCTATGCCCTTCTGGAATCGGCCGTTTCCTTATTCAACTTGGTAACTGAGCTGTTTGGCTTCTTTCATTTCATTTAACACTTACTTTAATCAATACCGTTTATTTATTATTGATGTAAACACGACTGCTTCATTTATTATGACTTCCACTTTCGTCGATCCAAGCTGAATTTATACATCATTCACGTTCATGCATTTGTCTTTACTTCATTTGTTTTCTTCGTTTTAAATTTTTTTAGCTTACCATGCTTAATGTACTATAATTTTGTAGTTTTGCGTTAGGTCTTGTTTAGGGCTTGACTCTTCTGTTTTCATTTCGATTGGTTCATCTTTGAGTATACTGATACTACGTGAACTATCACGACTGGACGATTTTGTGTTTGCAAACTATAAGCCACTAGTCATGGCTGTTGCTTCGTTGTTGGGTGAAGTTGATGGAGTTATGAATGAGATTGGTTTCGATAATTCAATATGATCCGTCTACTGATGGACCGTATAGGATTATTGTTAAAGGATGCAGTCCAGATAAACCTCACACGTTCTAATTACGCACATTATAAGGGGTCTTCAGTTTGGTCTCGCGTACGAAAATTCTTTGAAAAACAATTTTCTGTTTCTGTTAACTGTTGAAATACCACAGATAATATCTAAAATGCAAAGGTGTATAATACTCAAATAATCGCAGGCGAAAGTAGTTGAATTTAAAAAATAATAAAAACAACAAACAGCAGACATTTTCTAATGCAGCATCGCGAAACCCAAGATCGAATCATCAGGGAGTACGAACAATGATGGTAAAAACGAACAAGGCTACCAACGCATTCGTGCATTAATTAGGTCTCCGTGCCATTGAGGACTGCAGCCATTGCTAATCACGAATCTAGTCCCCTTCGCTCGTCTGCGGAGCCCTCTAATAAAACAATGATTGACTGCGCTGGATACGACTTCGTGACTGGGTTTTTACGTCGCAATTTTATGCTCGCGCGTAAAACTGGCTCTGCCTACGGCGTGAAAGATTCATAGCGTCTCGGAATACGGGAAGGTACGCGGGTCGCCCACGTCTTTGTTGCCTGGGGGAGACGGATATTTAATTAAGTATAAACTGATATTATGTACACATAACTTTTTTGTTTTATTTTTTTTTTTTGATCATCCCTTAATGTTGAATTTGAATCTTCTAAATTAAGTATTCGAGTTTTGCTACCAGTCATTTTGACTATATTAACTGCGACTGATTTTACTGAGATAATGTATTGCACTAAAAGCATGTCAAGTGTTCATTTTGAACTGTAACAATCTGGTGTCTCATATAATCTAAGAATAGGTGTTATGTAATAATCATAGTGTAATAATCGTCGATGCACGCGACTTCGATTTGAAATCAAATACCATACTGGAGAGTACACATCTTTGTTACTAAGCTCCCTGCTCCAACTTAGATGACCTGTAGCTGAACACAATGTCTCCGAGAGACACTGTATCTCGAAAAGAGCAACATAAGGATTGCCCGCGAAAGAAATCGTTATCAGGCTTCTGTACTTGTATACGTATGTGATCAACATGAGCGTTATATTCATTTTATGCCACATCGTTAAGGCCGTATGCTGCGTGCCGTATTTACACGTGGGCGCCACTTTTTACGACACTTCAAACAGGTCACGTCCACACCCCGAGAATGAGTTAGGAAAGTGTTTTAGGGCTTTAACGGCTTATATGGTGCGCGTGATGAGCAATTTTCGTCGCTCTCGACCGTTTCGCTGAGTAAGGAGGGACTGCAACTTGTGTTGAATTTTTTGCTTTGGGAATGTTGCTCAAACAGTCGATTGAACGTAACTCCACTTTGATGACGTTTTCTTTTTTTTGTAAACAAACTTCCTCTACAGACTCTTGTTCCGTACTGTTTTTTGATTAGCATTTTTTTATGTTTTTTTTTTCGCAGTCAAATCTTATTCTCCTAACTTACGAGCGACAGTTAAGAAAAACTTCCATAACGGAAAGCTCAATAATTGTTAATTTCCTGCGGTAAGATTTTCGTATTAAAGTAAAAGTGAGAAAGTTAAATCTATGAAACTGAGTATAGGATTAGTTGTCAAAAATTAGTAAATAGGTCGCAATAGACATAGAAAGAAATGGACATTATAATATATGAACTGGAATAATAATGGACTATAAAATGGACATTAATAATAATGAGTCGAGTGCACTAATGACTTCATGGCGCAAATCAATTTTTTGATACTTGTTCTTGGTGTAAACGTCATAAATTGAAATACATTTCACAATCATGATTAAAGAAGCTACCTGATAATAAGAAGGCAAGGAAAACACCGTATGGAGAAAGTCTGCATATTTTCGAAAAAAATTGCAGATTAAGTAAAGTAAAAGTATATATTTCGAAAAATATGTGAAATCTGCCAATCCGCATTGGGATCGCGTGGTGGACTACGCTCTAATACACTGTGGGTAAACAAAGAGGGCCTTTGTCCAACAATGACTATAATTTTACTTATAGTCTTTTACTTTTGTGAGTATTAAATAATATGAGGTATCCACTCAATCTCCAACAAGAGGATTATTACAACCTTAAATACCGTGAACTATTTTATTATAATGTGTTATGTTTGCGAAAATGTTATATATTAATCGTTTAACATCGTAAAATAGCCGACGATCACTTCTTGAGCGCGTTATCTGGAGAGTACTGATTAAATTATGTTACCCGTTGTATACACTTAGTAGTACAGCGAATTTAGCCTCGTTCATTAGTAACGTTTGCGGCCCTCCCTATGAATTTATACCTGTTTCGGGGAGCGGAGGTTTAACAGGCCTCTGCGGAATCCATTAACGTTCTCAGATTAGAAGCGTGACCCTTGCGTGATGCTAGTTTTATTAACGTCGGGTCTTATATCCTTTAATACGATCCCGGACAACAATCTAGGTGTTCCACCGAAACCGAAAACAGTTACGACCCTCCTACTAAATTGTTAATCGATCGAGATTTGTGTAAGCCCTTTAAATTATAACTACCGTTTAATTTCAAGTTAAGTTTTTAAGTAATTAGAAATCATATTACGACTCCTACTAGATGGAGTGAAGACCTGTGCAAGTATGCGGGAAGTCGATGGATGCAGATGAATCATAATAGTGCTTCGTGGCGGTCTGGTCTATGTTAAGCAGTGGAATCAAACGGGCTGAAATCATGATGATGTTGAAGTTAATCGTATCAATCAACACTTTTTCTTTGTAGTTATTTTTAATCGCCTGATATTTTTATACTGACATACCTAGTCGTAAAGCTTTTAAGTGTTCTAAACGCAATTATAAACAGTTTGGATTGTTTGGGTTATAACTATTAAACCGCATATTTTATCGTCATAAAAAATGTCTATATTATCGTAAGTTATTATTATATCGTAACTATATTCGATATTGAAGTTTGCAAAATCAATTATTTCACGCATAAAAAATGTAACATAATCATGCAACGCAAGATTTGTAATCTCTAACTGGGCCTTCGAGCAAGTTCCGAACTAGTTTCTCGGTTTAACACAATACACACGCAAACTTAGTGTTTCGTCAACCGTCTCACCAAATTGATTATATTAATGCATAATACTTCAATTTGCGTACGCTTTTAGACTAAACGCTGTCGTTAATTTACTGGTTCAACATAATTACATTGTTTTGATAAAATTTCGAGGAAGAGCAAAATTTTTGGCTTACTGCATATATAACAATAGATGGCGCCAAGCATTGCTTCAAATGCTAAGAAAACAATGTAGAGGTATGCGTTAAGATTTTCGTCGGTGTGGTCATCAGCCGTTTAGCTCAGTGGCTAGAGCGTCAGGCCGCGAATGCCGAAGACGTGGGTTCGATTCCCACAGCGGTGACAATCTTTTCGCACTTTTTCTACATATTTTAATGTTCAATCTTAAGTGCAAAGATTAGCACTATAAACAATTTAAAATTTTTACTGCATAATATTATGTGGATGTAATCAGACCCGCTTTTTACGAAATAAATACACGCCATTTCTATGAAATATATTCGCTTAGGTAACTGATCAAAACTATTGCCCTAATTTACTAAAAAAAACACCAGCAGAAACAGAGTATTGTTATTTGTTTGCATAATAGAAAAAAAATCATTACTACTTATTGCTATACTTTATGTTATTAGAAGAGAACTATGTTATTCGACTTCAGACTTTATTTACACTTTGCATCCGTTTTATACATCAATTGGTTTCATATTTTAGTTACTGGTTATTTTACGAGTTTCTTTCTTTTTACTTTAGTTCTTAAAAGACATGTTACTTTTAAAAAGCTAATAAATCCTTCGTTGCAATTTTTCCATTAAAAAACGCTCAAGAGTATTAATGTTTAACAAAAAGGATCATCTGGGCAAGTACCTTTAACCGTTCAAAGATTTGTTTAAACCGATATCAGTATTTCTATTTAAGTCGCTATCGATCCTGGATGAGGGGAGTGAATTTATTAGAAAAACATGTTAATCGGATAAGAAAATGTTGTCGATAATAAATCCGTTTCAATAAATGTCCTAGTTAGTTTTAAAAATAAAATGCACTTTATAAAACACATT